CGTTAGCGTGCTGGTGCTTCTTAATTAGATCAGGTTGGCAGCGCGAGCCCGAATCTAGTGGCTCATTAGCGGAGCTGCCAGCTTTTCGCTTGTTTGGTGTGTTATTCCACCGTAAGCGGGAGGCCAAATTAGATTCCTTTGAGTTGTAAAACGGGTTTGTTGGGTGGTGAAGTAGGAGCTTGGCAAGGGTTGTAACTAGATTTCCCCAAAGTTAGCCTAACCCAGAAAGGCCTGAAAAGAAGAGGAAATCTTGTGAGGGGGTGGTCACCCCTGCGTCAGGTGATCATCACCTCCGGCTGTGGCCCCTGGGTATGGTTCGGAGAAAATCACAGGTTTGCCGATTCACTGAGACACGGGCTCTAATGTTTCCATCTCTTTTCTGTTTTTACCTTTTATCTTAAACCCAGTAGCAAAATTCTGTCTTCACTTGAGCACAGTTCGGTTCTGGCTCGGATGTGGGCTGCAGGAGATGTGCTCCCACCCAAGAGTTTAAAAACAAACAATGCTGTCAATCAGTGAGAGAGTCACCTGGTGGGTAACTGGCGTCACCTGGAAGCATGGGTCTGAGGTCCTGGGACTCACTTGAATTTTCAGATGGCTGGGAAGAAGGCAGTGCAGGGAATCAAGGTTTGAGTTTGTATAGGAGCAACCACCCAATGGTTCTGGAATCATTCTAGGTCAAACGTAACTATTGTATTTCTCAGTTGCATGAAGGAATACAAGAACCTTTAAGTACACTGGAGGTATTTCTGTCTCTGTCTCTTTGGGACGATCAGAGGTTGATCTTGGTTGTCTTTGTCAATTTCTCTCTGTCTTACCGGTTAGCTAGATTGACTTGCAAACAAGCCCCAGAGATCCTCTCGCTTTTGGCTCCCTTCTTGAGTAGTTGACAGCATTTCCTACTATGACTAGCTTTTTACAGGGGTGCTAGAGATCTGACCTCAGGTTCTCATGCTTAAACCCACAGAGTTATCCCCCAGCCTCAGCAAAAATAGTTACGGCATCCTGCCAGTCAAAGGATCTCCAGAAAGTACAGACACGCGAGGAGATAGATTCAGGGTTTAACCCTTCTGTGGTTGACCTAGGAGAGGGGATGACTCCCACAAAACCCAAGGTGGACAAGAAAACAGAAATCTACTCCCATGTGTCTTCCCAGCAGCTAAATTAAGTGAGCAGCACAGCCCCATCACGAACTCCTAAGAAGTTCTTTGGAATGTTAGAGCAGTACTAAGGACATTTGAGAGGCATGAGAATGTCATTTTCTGTCATCTGCACAATGGATGCACACGTTTGGTACTGTTTCTGAATAGGTTCAAAATCTTTACTAAACAGAAACATTTGGGCCCTGGGGTTGGAGTTCAAGGGTAGAGGAACTTGCCTTGCTTGTGCTAAGGTCAGAGTTCAATCCCCAGCACCACAAATGAAATCGAACAAGTACAAAACCAAAAAAAAAAAAAAAAAAAAACAAAAAAAAACCAACAAAAAAAACCAACCAACCAACCAAAAAACAACCCCACCCCCCAAAAAACTCAGAAGCTTCAAATAAAATGGCCAAAGTTAAAACGAGTTTGTGGCAGCAAACTATATGTGCATGTTGGGGGTATGTGTGCTTGAGTGCAGTTGCCCTAGGACACCAGAGGGCTTGTCAGATCCCCTGAGTCTGGAGTTGTACGTGGTTGTGACCTGAGGTGGGTTGTGGGAACTGATCGCCAGTCCTCTGGCAGAGCATCAAGTACTCTAACTTTTGAACCATCTCTGCAGCCTTAATTTTTAAAATTATGTGTAATTACGTGTGTGTGCATGTGTGTGTGTGTGTGTGTACCACAGTGCACATGTTGAGATCAGCAAGCAGCTTTGCGAGTCAGCTATCTCCTTCCACCATGTAGGTTCAGGGGCTTGAACTCAGGTTTTTAGGCTTGTTGACAAGCAAGCACCTTTACTTGCTGAACCATCTCACTGGCTCCAAACAACTTTCAAACATACAAACAAACAAACACACCAACAAACCAACAAGAAGATTCCTTAGGTTAAAAATCACTGTTTCAGGCAGCCTTGGAGTTTAGTAGGGGTGGACTAGAGGAAGGAAAGGGACAAGATGTGGAAAGTCACAGGCTTTATTCCTTTATTCGAAAGTGCTCTTTAAGAAGTGATGGGGTGGGGGGTGTCTGCAGAGATGGCTCAGTGGTTTAGAACAAGACTCCCTGCAGGGGACCTGCACTTGATCCCGTGTGGAGTGCCTCACAGCTGCCTGTAACTCCAGCTTCAGGGCACATGTGACATCCTCTTCTGGATTCCGCAGTCACCTGAAGGCACACACACACATACCCACCCACTTACATGTAATTAAAAATAAGAAAAATACAATTTGGAAAGAAATAACCTGACAGGTGAGGATGCAGCTCAGCGGCTGAGCACCGGCCTAGCATTTAGAGGCCTTAAGATTAACCCCTAACCGTGCAAACCAAAAAAACTGAGCGGACTGGACTGAGTAGACAGAAATCCAAACCACGCTCTCGGCACCATAAGAGTTAAGACAGTCACATTTCCAAAGCAGCCAAAATCTATGGTTCCCCCTTCAGGTATAACAGTATACAGCCATGAAAGGTCACAATCCCAAGAGGATTGTCACCATGCGGGAAACTGCTCAGGCTACAGGAAGTGAGCTGAGTGTCTAGATCACGCTGCATGCTTCTCAGGTCGGGCTGGAGCTGGCGGGAAAACTATGGTAATGGATTGATGGGAAAGGATTTTATAAAATAGTCCTGTACATGAAGGAAGGAGAGCAATTGTCAAGGCTTTCGCAAAGGGAATGGAGCAATGCACACAGTTGCTTTTCATGATGTCAGACTTTTCAAGGCATAAAAAATATTCAAAGGAGAGTCAAGACACGGTGGGAGCTGCCTATAATCTCAGCGAGGGAGTTCAAGGTCATCCTTGGATAGGTAACAAATATGAGGTCAGCTACATAAGACGCTGTCTCAGATCAACAAAAAATTTAAAAGAAGTTGTGTCTGATGGTGCAGGCGTGTAATCCCAACTGTTTGGGATGCTGAGGCAGGGGGATTGCAAGTTTAACAAACCTTACCTCAAAAAGTCAAAAAGAGCTGGGAATGCAACTAAGGCCCAGGCTTCAATTCCTAGTGCTAAAAACAGGGAAAGAAAGGGTAGACTGGAGATCTTTATGGAGAGGCAACACTAAACAGAGCTCAGCTTCTGCTTAATTATGGTTCTAAGTGAGAGACAAGTACAAGTGCAACTCTGAAAGAATATCTTCTCCCTCTTCAAATCCTTCACTCCATCACGATGGTCAAAGCTACTTTGCCTCTGAAGCATTCTAGTTATAGTAAGCGTGCCTAGAATGTTTGGATGTGTTTTGTCTCGAAGGTATCCAGAAACGATAAGGATCATTTTGAGTTTTTTAAATGGCTGTAGAATTAACGAAGAGAAGGTCAGTATGATTGCAAAAACATCTCAAGCACCAGAAGATGGAAAAACACTTGAAGCCGGCTTATGGCTGGGTTTGGCATCTACCTCACTTGAGGATGGGATTCTGAGAGGACAACCCTGAGGCAAGATTTAGGAAGGTTCCCAAGGAACAAAGCAGACAGGGAAGGTGTCAGGTCCAATGATGAAGTCCTCTGAGGGCCACTTCCTCTTGGTCACCCTGGACAAATGTGAGTCACATCGCGGAGCTGCCTAGACAGGGTATCAGGGAGCTGTAGTACGTGACGTCACTATGCTGTGAGTCATTAGACAAGGATAGTACTGGCCTTTACCACTTAGCTTCTGAGCACTTCCGGCTCCAGTGGTCACTAGTGGTGATTCTAAGACCTTAGAGGCAGCCCTCAGAATTGGGGTGGAGTTGTACCACAAACCCATGAGCACACACAAATGGCCAAGAGCTGCAGGAATGCCCGTCACAAACCTGTTTTGACCCATGTGTCTTTGGGCCTCCTTTAGCAGCTTTTGAATGTCCATTCTTCCACTGTAGACTGGAAATATTCCTTGGCTACATGCAGCAGACTCTCCCAGGCGTAGTTAGTGGGAGTCGGGGGGGGGGAGCGACGGAACTGAGCACAAGACTGGGCAGAAGTAGGCTGGAGGGGTGGCCGGGAAGAAGAAAAACAGGAAAAACCAACAAAGCAAAAGGAAAGGATGCCACGTGGACTGAGAGGAGCAGTCCTTTATCTAGTCAGTGTGTGTGTGTGTGTGTGTGTGTGTGTGTCTATGTGCACACCATGTATATGCAGGTTTCCGACAGAAGGCAGAAGAGGGCATCAGATGCTCCAGAATGGAAGTTACAAACCGCTGTGAACATACTAACCTGGTGCTGGGAACCAGACTGGGGTCCTCTAGAAGAGCAGCCAGTGCTCTTAATTCCTGAGCCCTTCAATAAATATTTACTGAGAATGCAGTGTGGGCATCTATTTTTCAGGAGCAATGGGGCAGAAGATTTAGAAAGGCATACAACCTGCCTTCCTCCTAATCCTTGACCTTTGACCTACTTGGGCTACCCCCACCCACGACTCCTCATGTGAGGGTGTGTCAGCTCAGATTCTTTGGGCTTGGTGGCAGAAGCGCAGGCAACTTTGATTTTCACCTTCATGGCTCTCAGCAGCCAGACATGCCTTTCTTATCCACCGTGACTGTCCCCTGCTGATTCGGTATCTGTGAAAGCGGGAGGCTTTAACGTGCAGTGGATGGACGTGGCTGCACCAGACGGTGGCTATGAGACGGGCATAGTGGGCACCACCGGGAGGACACCCATGGTGTTTTGCAGCCCCCCATGGGGCGGGGGAGGAAAGCTGGGAGAGGCTTGACAAATGCGAAGGGAGAGTCCGTAAGAATCCAAAGTGACTTTCTAGAGTATTCTAAACGGCTTGGCTAAGTAGCTCCACGTACACAGATGGCTCTCCCGAAAGCTCGTTGTATTAGATATTTTCAAATTGAAAATTTCGAAACTTGGTACAACCCACGATGGATCCAGGAGGAGATGTAGATTTATTTTAAGTAAATAACTTTATTTTATGCTCCAAATGAAGGGATCAAAGCTTGGTGGCATCTTCTAGGAGTTACTGGACAGTCCAGTGGAGGTCCTAAAAGTTGAACACTCTTGGTGTCTGTCATCTTGGAATTTGGGCTTTTTTGAATTAAAAAATAGACTATTAAAAGGTATAAGACGAACTAAAGAGAGAATAAAGGTCTATGCTCAAAGCTTTCTAAGTTCTTTGGTGCGTGCGGCACTGGGAACTGAAACCAGGGCATCATGTTAGAGAAGAACTCTACCCCTGAGCCACACCCCTGAGCCACACCCCTAAGCCTACAGTTTATTAGACATTATAGCTACTTTTGTTTTTTAAATGGGAGTGAGTAGTCTCAGAGCCAAACCTGCCTAATTCATTGAAAGCTGCCTGAAGGCAGAATGAAGGTCTCTTCTATAGTTGAGCCCATTAGACCCGACACAGCGACAATGAGGGAAGGATGTGAATGAATGGCCCCACACTGGTGAAACGTCCTCCTCCCTTTGGTGAAAGTATTGCCCAGTTTGACCACTTGCGTAGGTACTTATACACTGGCTCTTTCTGCTGGGGTCACCTGCACAGAAAGGGCAGTGTGACACAGCCTAGCTCTTGGAGGCCATTGTTCCGTGGTGATTTCATTGCTGGTCTGTTCCAGACCAGACTTTGTGTGGGCTTGGTCATAAACGCGCTCTTAGCCAGGTGGTGACAGGGATAGAAGCTCCTTTGTCCCCCACCAGGCTCTGAAGATGCCCTGCATGGTTGATGGGGCTTTCCTCATTACCCAAGTTCCATTTCTTCTCTAGCTCTGTCAATCATATTCCCCTTCCAGGAGTGGTGGCCTCTGCCTACCCAGACCCTGCATTTTTGTGCCCCTTGACTCTTTGAGGTTCTTCCAAGTTCCTCTGAGGTAATCTTGATGGCTTTGTCCTTTGTCCTCTAATTTTCCTGGATTCTCTACCACAGAGCGAAGTCTCATCAGGCTGTGTCCTCAATGCTGGTTAAGCTACAGCTCCGTGAAGGCGATGTTGTGTCTTTGGAGGTCGCATAACCTAATTACGCCTCTATGACCACCCTCTAAACCCAAGGTCGTACATCCTAACAGCAACATTTCCTTGCAGGAAGTCTTTCTATTCCTTTATATCAATTCTCTACGGTTTCCGGAACCTCCTCCGTTCTATTCCATTTTCTTCAACCCATTCCTTTGAGAGGTCAGTTCAGAATTCTAAGTATATGCCTGCCCTCTTGTTATGAACCAGAAGAACAAAATGAGATGAAACTACCCAGGATCAACGTGTAGTTTCCATCCATCAATCTCCACACGCAGGACGCTGCTGTTCTGTTTTGGTGGGATCCACTCACAGCCTTTCTTCCTGCTGAGTGAGCCTAAAACCAGGGCGGCGGATCGAGATGTGAACCCTGTTCCTGAGAGGAGCACCGGAGGACTTCTCTATGGCATGTGGCATTTCCAGGCCCAGTGAAAGCAGGTTGGAAGAGTCACAGGATTTGCTCATAGGGTGAGGCTTAGCCTGGTCAGCTAGGAGGTCATCAGCCAGAGAGGAGGGCTTCAACATGGTCCTCTGTGATCTCGAGTTTCCTCCTTAGCCCCAGTTGTTTCTTCATTGTTATCTTTCCAGTTCTCTGCTAGGGAGAGAAGAATTTTACACCAGGCAAGTCACTCCCGTCCAGTTCTTCCTGTCGTCTCACCATGTCCCCTTCCCAGAGGCAGGAGAGGGAGGAGCCAGAAGGCAGACGGGAGCGTCATAACCATATATGTTCTCCACATTGCGGCGCACATAACAAGCAGGGAAGGAGTGTTTCTGCCTCGCTTTAGGTTCCGAAAGCTAATGGAAGAGGACTTGTGTAAGAATGACCCAGTGAGGTTTGACTGTAAACATCCAGGGGAACAATGGCAGGCATAGCTCCCCTCTCCCTCCCCACACATCTAAATCTCGACTGGTAAGACCCACAACATGTTCACGGAGATTGCTCACTCTTAAGCAATCGGCTTCACCTGTCTGAGTTACCTTTTCTTGTGTAGGAACTAGGGTTGCTTTCTTTTCTACGGATTAAGCTGTTATGAACACATTCTGCCAACGAGTACAGATCAGATGATTTATACAGTGATAGCACCCTACTCCCTTTCTGCAGCCCAATCGAGCGCTTGACTAAGGAGGATGGAGGCAATGGGAGCTTGACTGGGCCACACTCATTAATGCTGCTTCTACGTTGGCTCCATTCACTGCTGCCCTGATCCTTCATTCTCCTGCATCCTGGCCATTCCTTGGACAGCAAGTTCTCTCTGTAGCTCTCTTGTTTCTTTATCTCTTAGATCTTTTACTTGAAGATGCTTTTCTTACACATCCAGGGTTTTGATCCCTGGCTTGGTGCTATGTCTACCTCTAGCTGTTTTCTTTTTAAGCCCTGGTTCATTTGAGAGCTCCCGAATGAGCAGAGTTGGAAACAACAGCCCACGTGCAGGAGAGAATGAATGAGCTGAGAGAGACCTCTGGGTTCCATCCTTGCATCCAGAACACTCACCAGAGAGGCCTGCTTCAGTGAAGCCCACGACAAGAAGGCCCAGGGTAAGGCCAATGCATACTGGATGACAGTGACACACTGAGAATGCCCGGGGAGGAAGGAAGGAACAAGATGGCCATTTCCCTCCAGGGACCAAGCTGAGAAGAAGACATTTGGGGAAAGGGAGACATTTTGGAGGTGGTGATTTGGATCCCAGGGATAGGACCCGAGTACGGCAAAAGTACTGAGACCATGGAAGAAGTGAAAGAAGACGAGGCAGGAGCTGTGGGGTTCTCTGCCTTTGTTCTGTTCGCCTTGCCATACAAAGCTATGGCTCAGAAGGGCAGTATGTTTACGGAATGTGTCTTCCCTCATTCCTGGCTATGAGCTATCAGGTGAACGAAGTGAAGTTGCGCGTCCCACATGCTTGGGGCAGTGCCTGGCCCCGCCACACATGCTCAGAGGACGCTGTCATAGGAAACCAGACTAGGCAAAGGATGGTAAAGTGCTGAGAGAGAGACACAGAGAGAACAGAGTCGTAGAAACAGACAGAGAGAACCAAAGCACCAGCTATTTTCTGGACTAAGAGAGGTAGCTTCTTGCTCTTACCGTGTTCTTCCTGCCAAGGGCAGTTAGGGCATTTCTGGTTTGCTTGCTCTCCACTTGTTTCAACATTCTCAGAGTACTGGCTTGTCCTTATCTTTCCTATTGAGCACCTGTTATAAACTTGGGGGACGTTTGGCTCCCAAGGGAATATTTGGTAATGTGTGATTAGAACTGAGAAGCTCGGGGACATGCCACACCTAGTGATAAGGTTGGACCACTGCCGGAACCTCGGACAGCAGCAAGGAGTGGTCCCCGTGACAAAGAACAACCTGATACTGTTATCAACAGCTCTGAGGTTGAGACGTTTTGACCTACACACTATGAGCCTTGTCCCAGGGGCCATGGCACGCACACGGATCATGGGATCCCGATGAGCCAAGAATAAAGCAATGCTGTGATGGGCACCCAAATGTAACAAGGAAAGTGGTACCCAGTTAACCTCAAAGAACAGACTCTGGGCAGCTTCGACTTTGAGCGCTCTCTGGCGCAGGGTACTGGGAGGTTGAAAGTCAAGCCCACAAGTTGAGTGTGGTGACATGTCAGATAGATACCCTGCATATCAGATATTTACATTATGACTCATAACAGTAGCCACACTACAGTCGTGAGGTAGCAACGGAATAACTTTACGGTTGAGTTTTAAAGGGTCAAAGCGTTAGGAAGGTTGAGGATCACTGTGTTAGACTCACTGCGTCGAGGTTGGTGTTTAAGTTTTCTTGTGCTTGGGTACACTCTTAGAACTCCAGCATACCTGGTCTCAGGTATGTGTCTGAACATTGCTCGTTTTTTTTTTTTCTTCTTCTTCAAAACCCTGGTAGGAGTTAAAGAGAACATTAGATTTGCACTGAGAACTCAGCGGTGCTTAAAGTCCTGTATAAGCCCCTCCTCTCCATAACACCACACACCCCCAATTTTACTGAATAGGTTCAGTTATTTATCTGTGAGGCTGAGGTCTTGATTTGAAGTCCTTCCTCTCATGGCTAGGGTTAACTGTCAACTTGATAAATTTAGAATTACCTGGCAGATGGGCCTCTGGGAGATTATCTTGGCAGGTCATCTTGGACACTGCATTAAAGGGAGAAGTCAAACTGAGCACTTGGGCACCTTCATTACTTCCTGTTTCTTGTCTGTGGATGTAATGTGACCAGAGGCTTCAAACTCCTGCTGCTTTAACATCCTCACCATAGACCGTGCACTGGAATCTAGAGCCAAGGTCAGCCCTGCCTCCTCTAGCTTGCTTTGGCTGAGGTCTTTTGTCCCGGCATATTGGTGGCTTTTCTGTTGCTATAACAAAATGTCCTGACCGAAAGCAACTTCTAGAAGAGTTTATTTGGGCATACAGTTCCAGAAGGTTAGAGTTCATCCCGGTGGGGAGGCATAGCAGCCAGTGGCAGGAGTGGGGGCTGGAGCAAGAAGCTGAGCTTTCACACCTCAACGGCAAGCATGGAGCCGAGCACAGACTGGCAGGAGGGGGAGGCTTTGAACTCGCACAGATTGCTGTCCATGACACACTTCCTCCAGCAAGACCATAGCTTTCCAAACCTCTTCCAGATGGCACTACCAACTGGGGACCAAGTATTCAAAGACCAGAGCCTATGAGGGACGTTTTGAATTCAAATGGACACAAAGAGCAACAGGGGAAGAAACTAAGACCTTCCCTCAACTGGCTTTCGGTTAGGGCTCCCTGCAAAGTGGGCCTTGCCACCCAGTTACCCTCAGTCCCTGTGGTGATTCATTCCTGGGTTGTAACCATCACCCCCGGAATGCATCCGGGGTCACTTTTGCTGTCTACCTTGACTGCTTTTGGTTTAGTCTGCCCTTCTCCCATGCTCCCTGCTGATCTTTAGAATCCCATAGTGGCCTCTTTAACAGGTCGGGTGTAGAGCACCAATAGTGTCTTCTGTCAAGAAGTGTCCACGATCAGAAGCCCCCCTGGCCTTGCCTTTCCTTTGTGTCTTCCATTGGGGTTTGCCTTTGCCAAGGGCAGCCGCGCTGTCTTGAGGCTCTGGCACTAAAGCCAGTGTGCGCTGCCCCCTTCACCTCCAGTGTTTCCTCATCCCTTTGAGAGCGGACTTCCCCACCTGCCTATCTTCTTCAGAATCAGGGTTTCTCAACCTTGGCAGTGTGGGACATCTTGAGCTGGAAAATGCTCCATTCTGGAGGTTGCTCACAGCATCCTTCCCTTGGGTTCTCTGGGGGCACAGAAGCACGCTCCTCCCTGGTGGAGACTGTCAAAGATAGTGCACAGAGGTTTCAAATTAGGGCCAGCGGAGACCTGATGGCTTAAGTGTCACCTCCTTGAACAAGCAGCCTTTGATCTCTAGGTGTAAAGCCTCTTGCTTTCTCTCTTTCCACACACACCCTGTTGATTATGGTTGCAGGACTTTGCTCACCTTTGAAATAACATAATGGGTGGCTAGGAAGTGCCAGTGGCCCACACCATGTGACTACCTTGACTCCTTCATTCTGTTCTCTCAGGACAACGTTGAACACACCTTCTGTTCTAGTTTCATTTCGGTTGCAGTGGTAAAACATTTCTGTGGCTATGGTAAAACAAAAGAAACGTGGGGGAGGAAAGGGTTTATTTGCATTAAACTTCAGGTCATAGTCGCTGAGGTCATCACCATCCGTCCCAGAGGAAAGTCAAGGCAGGAATTCAAGACAGCAGCTTGAAGCAGAAACCATGGAGGAGCATCCCTTGTTGACTTTCTGGTTCACTTAGGCTTCCATTCAGCTGGCTTCCTGTAGTGGGAGCAGCGGGCTGCGGCCCGGCTCCTAGCCACCTGGCTAACTTTACCCGAAATAATTACATGGAAACTGTATTCTTTTAAATACTGCGTGGCCCGTTATCTGTAGCCTCTTATTGGCTAACTCTTACATATTGATTCAACCCATTTCTGATAATCTGTATTTCACCATGAGCTCATGGCTTACCGGGAAAGATTCAGCATGTCTGACCTGGCAGCTTCATGGCAGCGGCTTTCTGCCTCTGGCTTCTTTCTCCCACAATTCTGTTCTGTCTTCCCTGCTTACCTATGTTCTGACCTATCAGGCCAAGCAGTTTTCTTTATTAATTAACCAATGAAAGCAACAGGTAGATAGAAGACCCACCTACATCATTTCCCCTTTTTCTGTTTAAACAAAAAAGGAAGGCTTTCACTTTAACATAGTAAAATTACATATAACAAAATAGTTATCAAGCAAGAATTATAGTTACAATATTTATATCTACTTTATCTTTTATCATAACTAAGGAAAACTATAACTATCTATTTATTCTTCAACTCCATCAAAGACTCCAGAAGGATATAATATTACCTAATTAAACAAGAAATAAGCAACTTCCAAAACTCTAGAAATGAAAGAGACATCTCACTGCCTGGACAGTCACCCAAAGTTCCTTTGTACCATTAGGGCATCCATCTTCAGCCTTCAGGCCCATAGTATCCAGCAGACATTTCCATGAAGCAGGAAATTTCAAAGGCAGTTCAGTCACTATCTGCTATGTCCTGCATAATGTCTTGCAGACTATTTCATGAATCAGGAACCCCAAAAGACCATCTCACCTTTAGGCAAGTTCAGCAGTCCTCTCTCTGCGGGTTCTCTGTGTCCAGTTTATGCAACAGTCCAGGCAAGAGCAGTTTCTTGCCCAAATGGCTATCAAACTCCATAAGGAGCCTCTTCAATGCCCATTTTCCTCTTGAAGTAGCTGGTGCTGCCAGGAGTAGACATGTCTCATTGTCATGAAAAGCCCTAAGTTATTAAAACATTTAAAATGCCATATTCTGTAGTCTTTGAAAGATATGAAGAACGTCTATCTAACTGAAATATATCTCTATATATCTAGAAAATCTAACCAACATGAGTACAAGCTTGACTATTATCGATGATTATCCATTAACAACCTATACTTCCTAATTATACATTACATTTTTAAAATGGACTATACAATCACAATACCTTAATCAAGATTAGAAATATATATACATATAACAAAATTGATCTTAAAATCCATACCAATGCAAATTATTCATATCTATATTATATCCCCCTTTAAATGTAAAAGAACATTTATAAACAATATCTGGGATTATGGACGTAGCTATTTCTCTCCAAACTTCTTCCTGCTGTATAGGGGCGTTGTTAATCAGGTCTTCTATGGTGTATCCTTTGTGAAGTAATTTTTTGAGGGTGTTCACAGCAACCTTTCAGGAGGGCATGGTCTGTCATACCATATTAGGATAGAAGCAATCCACAGGGTCTCATCCTCTGTGAAAACAAAAGAAGGACCTCCTTTCCAAAGCAGCATATTCTTAGACCCAAATTCTGAAGTCATTATACCCTTATGATATCCATTCTGGTTTAGCTTGGCAGCCCATATAATGAAATGTCTCTCTTTACTTAGCTCCTTCACAGTCAAAAATTTTAAAGAAAACACAATGTACATAATCCAGACTCTCTGTGAATTTTCCATTTTTACGTGGCTTATTTTTATTGATTTCTTTTAATCTATAACTATCTGTACTCTGTCTCTTTAAAGACTACCTTTTTTAAGGCATTAACTTTATTCTCTATATTCTTTTTCTTTTCTCTCCCAAGCCTACGTACAGTCATCCAACACTGTGACCCATTTAGAGGTCTTTTATGTCTGAATCTGTCCTATTGTGAATCTGTAATTTTTTACTGTCCAGAAACATTTTTTGCTTTGTACTTTTAAATCGCTAAGCACTTAAGTATCTAAGCGGTGACATTCCTAGGTCAAAACCAGGTACTGCCGGCTTGCCGCGCCCAGTCCAATATGGTGGAGCCGCTTGTGCCTCTGAGCTGCAGAGCCTCCGGCTGCTCTGGATGTTGGTTACACCTTTCTCCAATTTCAAAATGGTGACCGTACCATTTCTGTTAGCTCTGGGGCCACCAGGCAGGAGCCACAGTCAGCAGTTTAACTCTGAGACTGAGCGTGCAGCACAGAGACTCTTTTCATCCAAGTTACATCCAAATCTGAGACGCAGAGCACTGCGCAGCCTGGAAACATCTCTGTGTATGGCGGCAGGAATCAGCCATGCTCTCCTGCCTGCCTAAGCCTGATCCTGCAGTCTGCCCAAGTGCAGGCGGGGAGTGCTGGGTCATTGGCATGGTCTCACAGTACTTTCTTCCCAATCCCGAGCGGGCGCACAAACATCCAGGCCCATAAAAACCATTGAAATGCTTTATAGTTGGAGTTTGCACCCAGCGGCACAGCCCAGGAAGCTGCGTTTTAAAACCCGCGCAGTTTTTTTTTTTTTGCTGCTGTTGCTGAATCAGGAAATCTCTCGACAGCATGCCCTAGCAAACAGCAAAAAGCTGTATTAAATTCTCTCCCCCCTCCCTTTTTTAAGCCCTCTCAGGTTTTTAAGTGGATTTAGTTACCACGTTGGGCACCATTCTGTTGTAAATAGGAGCGGTGGGCTGTGTTCCCGCCGCCAGGCTCCCAGTTAGTTTACACCCGAAATAATTACACGGAAACCGTATTCTTTTAAACACTGCCTGACCCATTAGTTCCAACCTCTTATTGGCTAGCTCTTACATATTGATTGAACCCATTTCTAATAAACTGTATGCCACCACGAGGCCGTGGCTTACCGGGAAACATTCAGCATGTCTGACCTGGCAGCTGGTTCCATGGCGTTGGCTCTCCTGACCCTGCTTTCTTCCTCCCACAATTCTGTTCTGTCTTCCCTGCCTACCTATATTCTGACCTATCAGGCCAAGCAGTTTTCTTTATTAATTAACCAATGAAAGCAACAGATAGATAGAAGACCCACCTACATCAGCTTGCTTATAGAGTTCAGAATCACCTGCTCAGGGACTGACGATGCTCACAGTGCACTGGGTACCCTTACGCCATTTAACCGTCAAGACAATCCCCAACAGACATGCTCACAGACCCACCTGGTGAGGACAATTACTCAGCAGAGGCTGTTCAGGGAAATGCTTCGAGACTGTGTCAAGCTGGCTGTTAATGCTAATTGAGACACTTCCTGACACACAGTGGGTACTCGAAACTGGGCACCTGGTTAACATGGACACACATGAATGACCTGACACACAGAGGCATCTGAGTGGTCATGTACATTTACCCAGGTGATAATGGTGTCCTGCTACAGCACAAAGAGCAAGTACTTTGGAGTCACGGACTTCCAGTTTCATAGTTCTGTCACCTACACCAGGGGCGTGGCCTGGCACCAACTTAAATAACAGTGTGGCGTCTCCATTCATCTGCAGTGTGGAGATGGTGCCCTTGAGAGTGTGCCTAGCTGGTTAGTCTTCTCTGCTGGCTCCCAGACCTCAGGTGGTTTGGCTGAGCCTCCTTCGGCTCTTCGCCTTGGCTTGCCAGTGCCGGGGGCAGGCTCACACTGTCCCCTCAGTGCTGTGTACACACAGTGCCACGCTTAGAACAGATGCTCAGGAAGTTCCCTTGATGCAACATAAGCAGGGATCAAGTCATATTTGTAATTTAATGGCATCACGCAGCAGTCGGGTGAGGCAATTCTCACGGGCCTGGTCCTGGGAAAAGAGACCAGCGTCAAATCCTCCTGTGAGGAGCCCGGGTTTGGAGAGGTCACGCAGATTTAGGTTCTCCCTCGTGGACACTTGGGAGTCTTGCAGAACACTGGGAAGCCAGGGCAGCCTCTTTCTGGCTGGCTGTTTTCTTCTTCTACATCAGCTTTGTGCAGATGGTAACTTTAGTGGATTTACCATCTGCCCACCTCTTAGACGCAGGGAGTTGCGTGTGGAGAGTAACCTCCCTCTGTGGGACAGGACACAGTGAACTTCAAGAATCTAAAATTCTGATGAAGGGTGAAAGTAAGAAGAGCAACCAATGGTTTCCAACTTGCTCAAGGTATAACTCTCCATCTCCTTTGAGTTCAACGTATTCAGAAACCCAGCCAAGGAGCCCCGTGCCTCAGACATGCTTCCCCCCTAGATGGGCTCATCCAACTCCCTCTTGGCCAGTAAGTGGCAGAGCTGGGATCTGAATTGAGGCCATCATTTTCTCTTTCATTTTTATCCTTCAAGTTCATAATGCCTCGAAAATCACCTCATCCCCTTAGCTTTCATGAACTTTGTACTCCACCAGGATTACATGTGGTAGGAAGGGTAAGGTCTACTCATCCCCTAGGGCTGATTCGGTAATAAGGTGCGCAGTGGGTTTCCCTGACCAAAAGGCGACTTCAGAATATTTGTATATATACACAATGAGATATCATTGGGGTGGGACCGAAATCAAAATAAGAAATACATCTATTTTTCATATCTGCTAGGCACACACACGGCCTGAAGGCAGTTTTATACAATGAGGCATTGTATGCCCCTGTCCAGGCTGCCACCTGTCCCACGAAGTCATCTCTGGTGTTTCCCACTTGTGACTTTATGTTGATGTTCAAGTCGTTTTGGAGGTTGGAGTAATTTGGATTCTCTTCCTTTGAGACTGGAACTGCTCAACCTGTACCCCAAAGAGCTGGCTTAAGACAACAGGAAGTCTTCTCAGAGTCCCGGAGGCAGGAGACCAGAAGTTCTGGTAACTTAACTTCCACATGCCCTCCGAAGGTTGCAGGCTGAAAGCGTCTTCCCTTGGCTGTGCCAGTTTCTGTCAGCCCTCATGACCTCTCCCTTACATCTGTCACTGTCTCTACCTCTGCTCCCCTTCCCCGCAACCACCGCTGTGGGCTCTGATGTTTGTGTGCCCACTTGGGGTCGGAAACAAAATAGCTGAGACCATGCCTGTGGTTCAGCTCTTCCTGCCTGGGTAGGCAGCGGGATCAGGTCTACTAGAAAGTGGCGGTTTTGAAATACCAGTTTTTGGGCTGTGCC